GGGTCAGCTCCACCATGTGGGTCAGTTCCCTATCCATCGATCAAACTCATGCTGCAGTGGCTGCTGATAGCTTCATAGTGTTGATAGCTTGATGGTGCTGAAACTTAACCCCTTGTACCACCAGGGAGGCCTCTGTTTTTTAATATATTTTGAATATTAATCCCTTCCCTGTTATATATTGTCAGAATATTTTCTCCCATTCAGTAGGATGTTTTTCAATCGTCACATATCTTTTTCACTATGTAAAAGCTTTTTAAGTTGAGGTAATCCCAGCTGTTTATTTTGTTTTTATTTCCCTTGGCATAGGATCAGTTGAGTCTCCAAAAACATCTTTATCAGTGTTATCATGGTATATATTTCCAGTGATTTCTTCCACATATATTTTATTGTTGCAAGTCATACATCCAAATCTTTTAATACATTTGGAATTTATTTTTTTGTGTGGAGAGTTAGAGAGTTAGAGAGTGCTGCAACTTCATTCTTTTATGTGTATGTCATAGATTAGGTACTGACATGGTGTATGGATTTATTTCTGGGCTCTTCTATTCCATTGATCTACTTTTGTGCCAATACCATATTGTTTTTCATGCTGTTGCTTTATAGTAATATTTGTAGTCAGGTAATGTTTCTGTTCTTTTTTCACAAACTTACTTTTCCTATTGTAGACCTTTGTAGGTTCGTACATTCCAGTTTTTTGAAAGATATTGTTGATCTTTTGATGGAGATTGTTTTAAAATTATATCACTTTAGACAGGATGTTCATTTTGCTTATATTTATTTTCCTCATCCATGATAATGGAATGTTTTTCATTTCCTTATCTCATTGTCTAAGTCCTTTAATAACATGACAGGTTAGGACTTAGAAATAGCCAGTGATTTCCAAAGTTTTTCTAATCTCATATCTGCCACATGAAAATATGAAATAAAATCCATGCACTGTGTTGAGACAAGAGCAAAGACCCCCTTTCTGACTCTTCTGGAGGTACCTCTGTGGGTTTCCTTGAATTTGTAGAGCATATTGAGATAAGAAGACTGCAAGGATGAGAATGGATTTGATCCAGAGACTGCCTAAACTGAAGGAGCACTTAAAGAAAGGCTCAGTGTGAGCATCACAAGTTCAAGGCAGGCAGGTGGCGGTGGAAGTGGGTGAGACTGTCTGTGTAGAGAAGTTGGGAGTGAGTGGTGTCAGCAGCTGAATTGCATTCCATATCAGGGTGTAGCTGCTCACTTCCAACTTAGCTTTTGTGGAACTGTGGATCCCAATTGGACATAAATACTGATTTTTATTAAATCAGATATGTCAATTTTTATGTGAATATCTTTTAAGAACACCACTCAAGCCACACAAGACACCTATAGGTCACATGCAGACTGCAAGCCACCATTTTTGCCACCTTTGGCATAGAGACATGAATATCTCACTGAGACATCACCCATTGTGGCTGGTGGGTCATGCATCTGTGTTATGAGTGGAAAGTGGGTGGAATTCTATTGGGGATGGGATTTGGGGTGGACTTTGACTATCCGGCTAGGGAATCTGAACCCTCCTGACTCTTGAGAATTCTTTGAGTAGGCCAGTGACTTATCTTCCCTTTGTTTTGGGAAGAGAATCTAGATGATAGTTGATAGATAGATTTCAGCAGTCACAAGTCAAGGCGACCACATTATTAGGTAATACTGAGTTTTCCTAGCACATTGAGTGTAAAACACACTTTGCAAAACAAGAGTGAAACAACTGTTGAGTTTGACCATCAGCCTGTTGCAGAGTCCTTCCTTGTCTATACTTCATCACTGTGTACATTCTAGTGCACTCATTTTGCATCAATCATAGCATCTTTAAATCCTAGTAAAATATACATAACATGACATTTACCACTTTAACCATTTTTAATTGTTCGGTGGCATTAAGTACATACTTGTGCAACACTCACTACCACCCAGCTCCAGAGCTTTTCATTATAGACTCAAACTCTACTCTCGACACAATAATTCATCATTACCTCTGCCCTCAGCCCTTACTAATCTCTGTCCCATTTTGTCTCACATAAGTAGAATCTTAACAATATTTATCATTTTTATGTGTGGTATATTTCACTTAGAGAGCATCATGGTATTATAACTTATATTTTCATGGCTTGAGACTATTTCTTGGAAAGATAGTGTATGAAATTAAGAAATGTTTGCAAATCACTGCTACCTTTTAAATCATAACCTTTCTCAAGGTTCTGCTTTGCCTATTGATGGCTGTGGGGCCATTCACTTTTTTTTTTTTT